CATTGTCGTTGCCCTTTTAGTTGAGAATGAATGGCATTCCAAGACATGCTCCAAAGTTTCACGAGAGAAACGTATTGTCCGGCTGCGGCAATACCTTCATTCACAACAACCACGACACACGCTGGCGGAGCGCGTGGTAGCGGCCATGCCCCCCACCCCCTTTGCTCAAGTGAGTGACAACCCTCGGAATCTTACGTGGAAACCTTGACTCTGTTCCACCTTGGGACAAAACTAAAGGTCGTCGTTGTTTCTAACGCGAGCTTGGCTCGGCGGCGGGCCTTAACCGGCAGACGTCATAGCCCTCGAGGCCCTCTCTCGAATCGCTCGCGCTCCAGTGTGCAGCGCTCCGGCCACCCACCCACTGGGAACATGACGTGGCCCTCCCTGGCTACAGACCTTCCCGATGCCATCGCAAACACCCCCAGCAATATTCTGCAGGAGCTTGTCGGTAGAATCCCTTGTACAACGATATCCTATCCATGCCGCTGCACATGTATCGGCGCCTCGTCATCAGGTGTACCGCCAGCTCGGCTTGGCGGGCGGCGTAGATTCCCCAGACGCCAAGGCCTCGTTGCGGCGGAACTCCCTGACGCAGCGCATGCCGGCGGCCGTGCGCCTGACGAGGTCCGAGCAGCGTGAGGTTATCTCCGGGTGAAAGGTGCACGCGGTGTCTTGTTCGGCCTGCTGCCTCCGCCTCTGGCGGAATAGCTGCTCCTCTCGGTAAGTGGCCGCTTCCTGCATCCACAGAGAGAAGAAGATTCACTGAGTACTGTAGCATGTACAGTAGTGAAGCGACAGATATTTGGTACCCCGAACGCTAACGGTACTCGGCCTCCAATGGGAAACACGCGTGTTCGACGGTAAGGAATCGGGCAAGAATTAAAAGAAAACACCCCCAAATGTGATCTTGATGCATGCAAACATGCCGGGTACGGGAAGGAGTTCATGTGCAATACCACGTTCGAAAACAACAACACTGACACCCAGGCAGAGCGTTTGGTTTCATTCAATTATTCTAAACTGCGTATGTATGTTGGTGTAAGAAAACCTCGTTTTCCCGGCCATTCCAATTTTACACAAGACGCAGGGTTTCGAATTTATGTCCTTAGCGCACGCTGACATTGCTCATGCCTGCGTAATCGTAATCGTCGTCGTCATCGACATTTCGGTTGGTCGTCGTTGTGATGTGGAAAGCGGTTGTTGGCCGCTAATTTACATTCCGAAACACCGCTTGCCGTACGCAAAATGACGCTGTAAAGAAAACCCCATTGTCCAAGATATCGATCGTTATTGACGCTTTTCCCTAATCGGAAGACTCTCACAGTACCCCCCCCCCCCAACGGTGTGAGGGCCGGTCCCTTTGAACGCAGGCTATGACACATAGTAGCCACAAAGCAGAGAGAATGGAGAAAATCGTTCCCACGGGGGGAACAAACTGTTATTAATAGCAGCGTCGGTTGTGCAACGCCAATAGCCTTTTTTAGTTTGCTGTTGTAGCGTCACTCGTCGGTTATCGAAGCAGGCTCGGTTCATCACAGCGGGTGGCGCGTTTCAAGAGATGCTCACCTGAACCCTGTCGAGGTAGGTGTCCAGCTCGTCTGCTAGCCTCAGCCTGGACGTAGTCGAAGGAGCAAGGCCATCGTCCCCGGCCGTCTCAAGCGTCGGCTCGAAGCTGTGGCAGCCCTGGTCGCCATCTTCGAACCTGTCGTTGTCGTTGTTGTTGTCCAGGAGACGGATGTCCTCTCGAGCCCTCGCCATGCGCTGCGTTGGAAGGGGGCCGAAGAATCGCAGAATTTCTCAGGTCGAACAAGAGGCGCGTCAGTTGGCTTGATCTTGTTGCGGTCTTGGGTGTACGTTGTTGTTGTAGCGGTTCAACTGCTCTTGTGGCATTTTTTTTTTTGCTTGAAGAAAATGTGTTGTCGTCGTCGTCGTTGTTGTCTTGACGCTACAGTACTTGCCGGTACGAAAGTCGATGTTGAACACAATTTCGGAGAGGAGATAGGGGTGATCGGTTGCGCCCTGGCCGTCGTTCTGCTTGTCAAGGCCTCGCTATTGACGGCGATCATGCCGATGTTGGTCGAACACCAAACAAACGAAGTCGTCATCGACGCCTCAATAAAAAGTATATAAGCGCACTATGCCGGTGTAGCGAAACCGCCCTCTCCACCAAAACCTTACCCTCTCGAGTGGGGACAGCTTCACGTGTGTTTCGTTGTCACTTTCCATCGTCAGTACCCACACGTTCGTCTCATTAGCATTTTCACTATGATCGCTACGCCTTCAAAGGTTTTGGCTCGGTGGGCCTTCGTGCTGTAGTACCCGCCGCTGGCCTCATGCTTCTGTGCAGATGCCGCACTCACCAGTGCACCCATAAGTCAGCAACCGTGATAAGTAGATATCCCATCAAGACTCCCAGCTCCAAGCTTTATCGCCACACCTCCCCAACCCTTACAGAGTCTACTGAAGAATGGCCTCCGACCCCAATCGTCATGGCAACAAGTCGAACAGAACGTGTTTTCGGAAGGAGAGCAGGCCAATCTTCTCGCCACTATCAGCCAGGGGCTTTGGGGCCGAGTGGGCTCTCTAACTTGTGGACGAGGTATTCAAAACCCAGCCATGCTTCAGGGGGTTGACAACCAACACAGCTAGTGGCGGCGCAAAAACGAGATTATCTAGACAGGAAAGAGTGATCGCGACTCACAAGCTTCGCCTCCCGCAGCACGGAGTCTCCAATGCTGAGCTCCCTCGCCGATCGAGAGCGCGCATTTCTCGCCCTTTTTGTTAGCTGCGGCACGAAGGTGCAGTCCTGCCGCTCGAGCTTCCTAGCTGCGAACATCGCCGCCTGCCACGTCAGTAGGTGTCAAAAACCAAAGACAAGAGCAGGCGACCGTCAACAAATGCCTCTTGCCAGAGTTCTGATTATTGAAGCTCGACGGGGGTGTTTTAGGTACTGATGTTAGGGTGTACTCGAAGGTGAGTCTTGATCTGCCGGTCTTCTGTACCTTCGAGTCAGCTTAACACACCGCACCACGGTAGCAAAGATTGTGAAACACCTGTGAAACGCTCCGCAGTGGTCTTAACTTCGTCCCACGGGGCCATCTCTTCTAGGGCCTGGGGAGGCGTGTTCTCTCTGACGGATAAAGCATCCCCGGGAGACGCATGGGCCCCCACTGCTCTTGTATGGGATTGAGGGGGGGTATACCCATCGCTATGCTTAGCCGGTCCCCGACCGGCCAAGAAACAAGTGAACCCCACGTTAGGCTTGTACCTCAAACGCCACGAGAACTTCGAGAACTCCTCACAACCTTCCCTAAAAACACACATGATACGAGCGCAGTGATATGGTTCGTTCGTACGCATAGATTCGCCGCAGTGGAAGAGTCATTGTCCGCCCATTGCTACTCCAAAAAGACGGTGGTATCGGTCCATACGGTTACCTACCATCCTCTCGTTTCTCGACGGCGAGCCGTCGTTCTGCCGTTGCGGTGAAGTTGTGTATCGAAACTACGTGAAACGGCATTAACGCCGTGAACAACTCCGTGGATGTGTCCGCCTTGGGGAGCACGCACGCCACGACATTCTCCAGTGCTTAGCAACTCCCTACCCAATTCTCGTCTCGTACCTTCCTGGTCGGTGATAAGGTTGCAACCCGGTGGACTTTACTCCGGTTTTCCAGTGTTATTCATGTCTATATCGTCGTGTCGCACGCTAAACCTGGCCGTAAACTACCCCTTCGCTCGGTCAATGGTCCAACAACCAAGGCATGCAAGACATGAGTACGCCCCTCCCCGTTCCCCCACCCCATGACCCCTCTCCGTCTTCACACCTTCCTATCCCTCCATCGTCGCCGCGCCGCCACGCCGAGCCGCTCCTCGAACCTGCCGCCGCCGGCCGTGGCGGCGGCTCCGTTCCTCGCGAGCATGCGCCGGGTGCCCCGCGACAGCTGGGGGGTGAAGCTGGGCGACTGCTGGGCCGCCAGGCGACTGAGGTGCTGCTTGGCGGCGACCTGACTGTGGGCCTGCCTGGCGAGAAACTCCCTAAAGCTGATGGCGTTCTGGGGGCGCCGTTGTGCGGGGGGGGGGGGGGGTACTCATGTAAGCGCATGCCGTAGGCGGTAGACTCGCATCACTACAATGCCGGGACGGAGCGACACGCTGGGTTCTCGCCGGCCCAGGCTATGTAGGGGTGGTTCGTTTTAACGCCTCTCGTTTGGCTTTAGATAGGGTGTGAGATATTGGGTCGTTGTCATGGACTGAAAATAGTCGTCTGTGGAAATGCTACAGCTAAGAGTTTCCAAGTACCATGGCTGTGTAGTCTTCAGGTATGGGGAGGAGGGAGGGGGACGGTCAACAGAGCGTCTGTGTCGCACTTGCTGTGCCAGAAACGCTCAATTCGGCGCAATCATTGTCGTCGTTGTTGCTGCTGCTGTTGGGGGGCCCGCCACAAAAGCGTGCATTTGTGTGTGTGTCCGCGACAGGCCACACACAGCAATAGACCGGTGTCCCGGAGATATTTCGCCCGCAGTTTTTATCTTGTGTCTGGCTTTGCTGATCGCCCCTTCCCCTTTGAGAATGCCCCCAAGGTGTTATTACAACTTTATAAGGTATTTGCGCCCCCCGGAGTGGGTCAAGGTTGTAGGTGACGCATGGAAGGAGTTCGAAATTGACTAAGGTGAAACGCTGGAAACGGAAGTTCTAGACAGGTTCAAGGATATCTCTGTTGCTTTTGCCGAGACAGAAGAACAGAAATCTATCCGTAGAAACGAAGGATAAAGAGGGTCTAGATGTGTACGGAATGTTAAAAGAAGGATTAGGGTTCAAGGAGTACCTACATGGACCAATGGATGCAAGGATAAAGAAACGTTAAATGTAGGACCGGGGACGTTGGCCTTCGAGAACGTACACGAAGATTACGGAAGGTATACCATGAAGACGACAAGTTCAAACGTGAAATCGACTCCGAGCGCAAAGAACGGGCTCATGTAGTTGCGGAATGTCCGTTCTACAAGAAGGAGAGGGAAGTGTACATGACTGAGCGGGGAATAGTAGAAGGAAGACACAAGGAGATGTTTGAGGTATGGAATAGCTTGGAGAAGGCGATAGTTGTACTGGGGTATAGGAAGGGGGTTGAAAAGGCGGGAAGTAACATTGATAGGATAGATAGGCTAGGAAAACATATTTCAGCCACCTTTGGCACAGGAGGAAGGAACGATTGGTCATCGGTGATCGTTCCTGTGGGAACAATGCTCCGTCCTCTCGGAGACACGTCGTCAATGGTCTAACCGCTAAGGCATGCAGAACATAAGAGTACGCCGTCCCCCACGGGTAATCCAAAGGGTTAAGTGAAACCCCACCGACCTCATGGGGACTGCACAGGAAACCCATGGAGTGTAGGCGAGCGGCTGACAACGGCAGAGAACCATCGAACATGCGGCACCGAGGCAGAAATTGGCAAAGGTGTAGCTTGCTACGAAATAAATGCTGGTAAGGCTGTTGGCATCTATATGTATGTGCGCGCCGCAAGCATGATGTGAAGAGCTTTAGCTAAGGATAGCTCGACTGTACACTCGGCTATGTAGATGGACCAATCGGTATCACAACCTATGCAGATACTTGGTCATATATTGCTGGAATGTCCCGTGATGGTGGTGATTGCACGTTGCGGGTGACAGTGCAAAGCGTCGCCTTCTTGGCTACACCGGGGATGAGGATGGATTATCTCCCCCTTCCTTTTCCTATTGTCGAGTTTTTCCGAACGTCCCTTCAAAATAAGCCTTTGGATTCTCTAGGAGGTGGGTGCCACGAGACTTGCGGTGTTCAGGCGATACACAGCAGTCTCCGTGCTTCTCGTTAGCCCATTCCTTCTTGCCTACAAACTCTAGATCGTTATTGTTGTGGTTAATCGCGAATCGATACTGTACTCACGAAGCTACAGCGGAAATTCGTGAACCAAGAAACACACCTGGCGCCGCGGACCCTTCCCCCCACCGCCGCCGTCCCTTCCGGAACTCCTATCCACCCATCTCTCCCCCTCCCCATGAGCATGGGCTCTTCTGCCCTCTCCGTCCGTTTGGATCCACTTCCCCTGCCCCCGCCCCCCCGCCCTCTCTCCTGGCCATCTCGCGCCCGGTCTACCGTACTCCCGCTCTCCTCTCGCCCCCGGTGCGGAGCGAGGCTGGCGGGAGGGCACCCCTCCCTCTTCTCTCGCCGAAACCCATTGTCGTCGACCCCCGGCCCCTCCCCCTCGTGGTGCGGCCCTTCGTCTCCCTCCAAAGAAGCAACTGGCACCAGCACACAGATTCCACATTTTGGCAATCACCATATCATGATTGTGACAAGAGAAGTAGCGGTACATGAGCAACTTTCGAGCAAGGACAATATAGGACTCTCTTGGGGCAACCATTCGATGGGCCTTCCTCTCCCTTTAAAGAAGCAACTGGCACTAAAACGGTCCTAATGTGGCAAACCCCGTCATGGATTTCAACAAGAAAAATGCTTTACATGAGCAGCTGTCGAACAAGCGCCACAGGGCAAGTACTCGTTGAGCCCCCATCATCAGCGGAAACACGGTCCGTTCTCTGCGAGACAGGAGAGGTAACTACATACAAGGGCCTCCCGAGCAGGAAGGGTCACCTGTCATCGTCACGGCTACGGCCCCGCCGCGATTGGTTCCGTGACCCCTCGCCACCGCCGCCGTCGCGAAAACGGCCAGCGTCCGTGAGGTTGTCGTCGCTGCCGCTGCTATCACCGTCGTCGTCGTCGCTGTGGCGGTGGCGGTGGTTGTTGGTCTCATGGTCTTCTAAGCAGCGACGACCATTCCTGTCGCGCTGGTGGCGCTCAGGCCGCGCGGGGCTCCTCGAAGCTTCTCGGCGTCCTTCATCCAGTTCACTGTCTTCGTCGGCGTCAGTATAGTCCTGATAAGAACAAACAGATGAAAGATTGAAGGTTGGCTCTGTTTGCGGTGCTGTCGCGATTGGGTCAGTAGCTGAAATGTTCGAGGTCAGAGAGGGTGGTGCCAAGGCAGCTGAAACTCTCTTAATCCTGCCTGTCCTTCTCGAAAACCGCGCGGTTGGAAAAGAGGCGTCTCTCATGGCCGTGACAAGCCAAGTTTTTTCCCTCGTAAAACCCGTGTTTTCTCTCGAGTTATCTCTAAATGCCGTAGCCGTTACAACTGCGTACAAAGCTGTTGACGAGGGGCGTAGGATAGACCCTTCTCGAGACAGAACGGAGGGTGTTCACCACATCATCTACTCCACGTGACCCGGCTTCGCATCTCCTCGACGGAAAAGGCAAGGCCGTACGATAGCCGTAGATGGGGTTTGAACCTCCTGGAAACAGAGCACGGTCGGGGTCCCTCTACAGGCCGGTAAGTGTCAGGCCAACTCACCCATCGTATAGTGGGCACCCGCCTTATTCTAAGGGTAAAATCACTTGGGGTACTGTTGAGTATTCTATCGATGCCTCGAGACAATATCCACCCCACGAGCACCCACGACTATACAACGAAGGAATGGCTGAGGGTGGCACGGGGAACACATAAACGTAGAAAAAACATAAAGGTAGACGTTAAGAAAACTTGTGCGAGTGACCAGACAGAAACAAAGCTTTCACTTACATTTTCCCACGAAATAATAACACCAGTACAGCGGTGCGTTGTGCAGGAAGTATACGGCAAAAACCTCGCAGTACGGGGGATGGGCCCACCTCCGAATTCAAATGAAAACCCGTTTCTGCCCGCCGAATGTGCTGAGTGTTGTTGCTGGGGCGAGGCTGATACAGCCGCTGCGTTACATCGAGGCTCACGTATTCGAGGGCCCGGGTCATTCCGGGCTGTACTCCCAAGATCTGAGGGGTAAAGTGGCCAGGAGGTAGGACGGAGGGACGGAGGAAGGGAGGGAGGGAGGGAGGGAGGGAGGGAGGGAGGGAGGGAGGGAGGGAGGGAGGGAGGGAGGGA